GTATATCTGAAAGCTTTGAAGATCTTCTTTCTGAGTATTTTCTAGAAAGTTATTCCAATAATCAATCTTTGCTTTTTTAATTGCCGAGAAATAATCATTTCTAATATTCTTTAAATACTCAAATGAGGTAAGATCTTCTTTCCAATCTCTTTTAACTCTAGCTAAATGTCTTCTTTTAATTGAAATCTCATTATTCCACCAAGGCTTAGAGAATTCAAAGACTCTTTTCAATGGAATATAACTTTTTACACTTGAAAAAATAATCTCAGTGATTAAGTTTGCTCCTTCTACAAGCATTTTGTCTGTAAGATTTGTATCTAATTTCCAATAAAGAATTTCTTTATTCTCTAATTTCAACTTTCAATCATTCTTTTCATTTCAGTCCACTGAGCTTTTTCAAAATTGTATTGATTTGAATATAATGGGTTTTGAACTGTTTGATTACTATCCAATTCCATATCAACTTGAATTATCTCATGTCCAGTGGCAGCACCATTTGTTTCATTTGAGTCAATATACCAATTAAAATGTTTATTCTCATATAGATTCTTAGAGAAAAAACATAAATCTATAATTGATTTCGTCTTAAACCTGGCTTGTGAAAGGTGGGAATATGTTACTCATTTATCAACTCTAGTTTGTTTAAAAGTACTCATTCAACTAGTTTTTCAGATCTAATTGATTCAGTTCTTTCTGAATTCCACCAAGAGTGATGAGCATTGAAATCCCCCATGATTATTCAGTTTTTTCCTGGTTTCAACTACATTAATCATATATCAAATATCCAAGTTCTATTGTTTTCTCTCAGTGATTTTTCATTGTAGATATTGATTAATTGAATATTTTCAAACTGGTTTTTCATATCCACAATGTCACCAACAAGAATATCAGAGTCAGATATTAAATCATATCTCAGATTGAATTGAAATCTTGAATTTTTTCTAGTATAAATTGCCACTCTAATTCTAATATCTATTTTCTCTGGTAGAAAACAATAATACGCTGGATGAAATACACTATACTATTGATCAGCATCAAGTCTGGGTTCTTGAATAAGAACAAAGTCAGCTTTTTGCTCATAGCCAATTTGTAAATAGGAATAAAGGTATAGATTTGTTCTATTCCCATTATTTTGAATAAATTTGATTTTTGTCGAGCTTTTAACATTTTTTTGATGTTTTTCTGACATTACACAAATATTAACAAGTATTTCTCTTTATTCAGAGTCAGATAACAGACTGAATCTATTATTCACAACTTCAACTGCTATCATATCCTGCATATGTGTATCTCTTATCTTTGTTTGAACAGGGGTTCTTGGTGACTTCTGTAATCTAATTTTTTGCCTTGCAGAAAATTCAGAGATAGCAGATTCAGAGAGTTGAAAATTTCTTCTTTTTTGTTTATTTCTATCATTTACATTAGTAGAGATTGAGTTATTTGTCTGTACTGATAGCTTTCCTGATTTGGAAGCAAATACACATTTTTTTGAATTTGCAAAGTGAGGCTCTTTACAACTGGCAAACTTTGCAATAGATTTAAAAATGCTCACACAGAGTTCCCTTTTTCGAACAAAGATGACAATTATGCTTAGATATTCTATGAGATTGTGCACAAATCTGACACTGTATTTCTTTTATATAGATTTGCAAAGTGGCTATATTTTTGACAATTTGAGCATTGAACTTGAGTTTTCAGATTTTCTCTGGTATCTTTGAACTCATAAATCCTCATTCTCATACCAGCAATTTTCACAAATGAGATTTTGAATTGTTCAAATGTCTCAGTTATGATTAGAACTGAGCTATTTTGCCTATTTTCTCTTTGTTCTGAATTGTTCAACCACACAGGAAGTTTGTTCAACTTGATTGAATTGAAATCTTCAATTTCATGTTGCAGCTGAATCAGCCCATCATCATGATTGAAGATTGCAGTTGGTATATCATGAAGCACAAATTTTCCCCATTTCTCATTCTTTTCAACTGAAATTTCAGTTTTTAAAAAAGATTCAATTATAGATGCCCAGATCTACTGATTTTGAATAAGAAAATTGGCATTGAAATCAAGTATAGTGGTGAGAATAATTGAGTTTCCAAGAAAAGAGCTTTCAACTGAAGCTATTACCGACTTTTGTAGCTTAGATTCAGAGATAGAATTCAGTACATGATTGATTTCATTTCTCAGTTGAAAAATAAGACCTGCATTTGACAGCATTTTCTTCTCAAAAATCTCCTTGTTAAAAACTTTAACAATCAATCATTGAGCTTTTGATTGAACAAATTTTTCCTCTTTCAATTCCTTTCTTGATTTCTCTGTGATCTAAGAACTCAGAGAAGAAGCAGTTTTTGAAACTTGAACATGTTCCTTTTTCAAAGAAGATGTGTTTTCTGTTGCAATATTTGCTGCTGCTTGAGTATAAGATTTTTGGTCTATTTTATGAACCTGAACTTGAGATACAGACTTCATCTCAAATACCTTTTCAAGTTTTGATGAGATTCTCATTTTATACTTGAGAATTTCATTTAGTTATCTTGCTTGAATAAGTAGTATATGAAGTACTTTAGTGTTTTTTTCCTCTATACATTGATTCTTCAAGCACTTAGCAAATTTTTCAAGATTTTGAATCTTTTGTATCTGATCTTGATATTTTTTCTTTCTTTTTTTAAGAAATTCAATCTCAGGAATTTCCTCAGAAAAGACATCCTTCTTTATCATTTTCAGTTTCGTATCAAGGAAACTGATGCATATTTTTTTTAAAAATAATCATTGTATGAAGAGTTCAGTTCATTGCATTAATTTTAACAATAACAATTACTCATTTCTGATCTTTAAATTATACAAATTTGAAATTTTTAACTTTTTCAGATTTAATTATCATTTTGATAATTTCAATAACTCTCATTTAAAAATCTGTCTTATTAAAGTTGTAGATATTCTCTTTCAAAATCTCATACTTTGCAATGATGTTTTGTACAAGTTTAAATCACTTACAAATAACCTCAGAATTCTTATATAGTGCATATTGATAATTGTATTTGTAAAAGAACTTGAATTTCAGCTCTTTATAATAATTGACAAAATTTCATACTCAGCATTCATTCACTATGAGTGAGGGATTGATTTCTTAATTGATAAGAAGAAGATTGATCATTTCTTATACAGCTACAATTCAGAGTGATTGATTTCATTCATTTATAATTAAAATTCATTGAACAAGCGATTCTTCTTCTGTAAGGTTAAATTTTCAATTCTTTGAGAGAATATCTATACATGCTGTATGATTAGAGACATGATGAGTGAGAGTTGAGCAAGGGACATCATACAGCTTTGCTGCAGCTCATATGCTTGAAATTTGATTATTTTTAAATGCTTGAATGATTAAAAGAAGCCTTTCTTCTTGAGCAGAGACTTTATTTCTTTGAGTGGTTGACATTTTTATTGAAAAGCATTCTTGTTGTTATGGCAAGTGGGAAGTGGCTCGCTTGCTTATGTGGCTCGCTCGCTTATCGATTACGTTACTTAGCGAGGTCGACTCTTCTGTACGCACTCGTATGATCTTTAAGGAACCCTTATACGGAGTATGTAAGATGCACCCCCACGGTGGCTGGTGAATCGTATTTGATGGAGATGTTCATGGAACGCCCCCGCAGATGCCCAGCAGTTGATCTGCGCTATGACATATTTTACCAAGTCACAGCTCAGACATTGAAAACGCCATATTCGACATAGTTTCCTTCCTCGCATTCGTCGCTTGATCCAGGGTTTTCTCTGCAAATATGGCTGCAACTTGAAACAACTTTTTGACTTTCCACATAGGCAGCGTTAGCATCTCAGGATCTCAGCCTAGATGTCCATTCGCGTTATCATCCGGAAAGGTTGATATCGGTGGCAAAGGGATCTCATACGAGCTAAAGAAGGGGGGTAAGCGTTCCAATGGGTTATGAAAATCGGTGGTCTGTTCACGTCCAGTGTCGCAAGTAGCCAGATGAGCAGTATTCATTCTCCAATTAACTCGAGTAAATATTGTTTCGAGATGAAAAGAAGTGCTGTCTATGCCGGGTGGTCCAGACAAGAGCCCCGGCTTGATGAGAGGGTGAAATTCGTGAAGCAGAGCGTTGATGATACTGGATGATCAGTATAAGGAGAACAATGCGGATTGATAGGCACCTCCGTTAACAAAAATCATCTGTCGGTCAGGTGAAAATTCTGCGAAAGTAGCTTTCCTTGAAATGAATTCATACGAACTTCCAGGCCAGATTTAAATGATTGATTGGCTGGGTGGTTCGGTCGTGCGCCATGTTTTCAGGGTTTTTCAACACGTGATCAGTGTCTTAGTAGTTGCTCATTTCCGTAGTTGGCATTTGACAAATGTTAATCTGCAAATTTATCTATGGAGGATTGAGAGTCCTAGTACGGAGTAGATTCAGTTTGAAGGGTCTTCCTCACTAGTTTATGAGCCTACGGAAGTGACGGTCCGGATTCGCCCAACCTGCACCGCTGTCGCACGACAGCCTGTATCATCCTTCCGCAATGCTTATTTCTGATCTTTGACTTGGAAGTAATATGCCGGACACTGTCCAATTGATAATATCTGTGACAAATGAGAGGGAATGGGATGGAGCGGTCTACTGTGAAGTTTGCGAACCGACTTGCCTACCTCGAGAGGACATATTGATAAGAGTAGTTTCAATTTTTTCTTTTTCTTTTCTTTTTTTCTTTTCTTTTCTTTTCTTTTCTTTTTTTTTTGATCTCGTGCTTACTACCCCGGATTTGAATTTTCTCATGTTTGAGGTTATTTCCTCGAGACACAAGAATTTGGATGCATGACCGCCTCACCGCAGCTCAAGCCGATGAGGCCACTCACATCGTGCAGGAGGTCATATCTCCGTGCGTCCCTGTTGCAAGGAATGTTTTTGCAAACTTTGCTATTCCCTGGCCATACGGAAACGGCCAACCAACCCCAAACGTGTCAAATCTGACGTGGTTTTGAAAATGTCGCCATGCATCTCGGTGTTGTCCCGAAATCATTCGCGAGGGTGAGGCTCTTGTAAAATTGTGATTCAGCCGCTCCTTTCCTTGTTCAAGCGTTTGGTCTGGTCCTACAAGAATTCCTCCGCTTTGCGCCCAGCAAACCTTAACCACGCAGACTGGATGGATTTTCTTCTGCAGACCGACAGGAAATACCGTAAAGAGGGCCGTCACAAAGATCCCCCTACCTTAGGGATCATTTTATCCTAGGCTATCGGATAACTCAATATTCGAGACGGGAATGTCGACAGATGTATCCTTTGCTGAATGAAATTTTTGCATTATTCCTCAGCAAATGAACTGCGTTTCATTTGGCTTTCTTCTACTATTTCCACGGCACCTGTTAATTTGGCAATCAGCATCAGGTCCTCTGTTTTTGCTGGAATGTTGAAGTTCTGTAGGTGTAATTCAGTACCTGCTTAATTGCTTGGTAGCTGGGTGTAAATCATGTCAAGGAGTTGAATGTGATACAAATGAATGATTCTGGCATCTTCCTGAGAGAACATAACCTCTTCGTATATGTTTACCTCAACTCAAAATGATAGGGGTAGATGGACATAGCCCTGGAGGTGGTTGTTGCCCTGCCAGAATAGGCAATTTTGAACTTCATACACACGTCTCCACTCATTCACTTACATATTGTACTCTTTGCTCTCACCATCATTTCACGAAACCAAGTCTCTACGTCAATCGCGTGCTCACTTCTTCAAAATCGTCTAACAATGCCCACACTAAAACAGCTCTCCTGCCAAATAGAATGGGCCGGCTCAAATGTCCCATTCAAGGAGTATGGCACCGTCTATGGCGATGGGTACGTGGAATGCTACATAGCCATTCCCAACTCATCTACTCCCTTCTCAATTAATTTGAGATCGGACGGCTACATTGCGGCAGGCTTAGCTATGTTTGTCCTCATGGATGGAGTCTACCAATGCAATCGGAATAGAGACGACCTGCGGCAAATGGCCAAGTCATCAGACGCAACGACAAAATTTAGAGATGTTAACTTTAGAGTCCGACAGAGGGAGGAGCGGCTGCCGAATGGCGGATGGATTGGGAGACCCTGGAGATTCGCGCCATTCCAGCTAGGTATGCCAATGGAGAAATAATGTACTGTTTGTAGATCTTTGATAGAGACTTGCTCAAACACCGCGCTACAGTCAAATCCCCAGAAAACAATCGTGATATTGCAAAGCACTTTGAAAGATTGGGTACTATACAGGTTGTCGTTCTTCGCTGCGCGGCGCATTCAAGGGCAAACATTACCAAAGATGATGATATATCAGACGGCACAAAGACTCCAGAATCCGGAATGGCTCCCGGTTCGGAAGGTGAAAGCATTGCCTCACTCTCCCCTCCTCGTCCGTGATTACAGATTTTCTAACAAATAAGGCCCTATAGATGATGGCTCGATCTCAAGTGAAGTGTCGCTCGTATATGAAAACCACAATAGTCGATTCCAGGAAGGCAATGAGGAAATTTGGGGGGCTTTCAGAGGATTGTTTGATGGGCCCTATGACAGTGAATTTTATGTCCAGAAGCCACCAAATCAGCACAGTTACCCAGGCTGCTGCCGGTGCTATCACCCCCGTGATAATTCCCAGGAAAAACCTTTTGGGTGTACACATGGCCATATCGGCGGATCTTGTCAGAATCATAAGCGTTCCCAGCAACAGCAAGCTCCTGAATCGAATTACCATGCGGATCTCTTCCGCCAAGAAACCATAATAGATGCGCCTGACATTCCTCCATGCTGGGGGCGACACCCGGGGGGTCACAACTTACGATCTCCCAGTGGTTGTTGCATGCCTCGGCCGAACTTGCCGGTGAATATTCATGAAAATGATTCTCATCTCACGTTCCCGTCGAATGGATATATACAAAGTCCTACATCTTCAGGAGGGCGAAAACTGGTGAACGCCATTTCGAATGGGGAGGATCAAGGTGGTAGTCGATTTTCCGCACCACCCATTATTGTCAATATTAGTCCCCATATACGTAAAGAGAGCGGCCA